CCTAATCTTGTAAACCTCAATCATGTCACCCCTCAGTCGTTGTTTCTCCAAGCTAAGGAGCCCCCAAGCGCTTTAACCTTTCTTCACAGGGAAAGTGTTCCAACCCTTTTATCATTCTAGTTGCCCTATTCTGCACTTTTTCCAATGCTATAATATCCTTTCTGAGGTGTGGTGACCAGAATTGTACACAGTACTCCAAATGAGGTTGCACCATCTCTCCTTATATAAAAAAGAGTTTTCGTGTAAGACGTTCCACACGCCTTCCCAGCCTTTGGGTCCCTGGTCTGTCCCTGAGGGGGGCCAATCTCCTTGCCACATTGCTTCCCTCCGTCACCTCCCACCCACCCACAAACCCTCCGGGTGGCATCTCGCCCTCAGTCTCTGGGGAGCTGCCGCCCGGGATGGACGCTCCAGTGGCTGGACACCTCCGGGCCCCACCACCTCGCCGCCTGGCCTACGCCCGCACGGGGCCCATTGCCCCACCGGCCCACGCACCATTTCAGGCGGCCCCGACGCTGCCAGTGCTCAGCCGCCCATGGACGCTATACTGACCCCTTTCCCCGCCCCTCAAAATGGCAGTCTCACCTGGTTCTCATTTCCCTTGCAGGCGGCCTTCAGCCAACCCGCCACGCCGTGCGGAGGGCCCTCACGCCACCCACAGTCCTCCTGCTACTCCACCCCCCCGCTGGGCCAGGACCATTGCACGTGGCTGGCCTGCGAGCCAGCAGATGCCACCAGGCTTCCAGGCCGTCCAGTGGGGGAGTCAGCCAGAGGACGTTTGCCCATGCCAGGACACCACTGCGTCCCATGCCGCCGCCCCAAGGACTCGGTGGCACGTCCACGCCACGCGTGCGCAGTGATCCCGCATCCTTCTAGTGCTCGTTGTCTTCGTCCCACAACGGACCTTGCTCCTAGTCAATTTATACAGGAGCATTATGATACTGGCTGATTTGTTTTCAATTCCCTTCCTAATAATCCCCGCATAGCATTGGCCTTTTTTATTGCAGTTACACACTGTCTCAATATTTTCAGTGAGTTATCTACTCCAAGATCTCTCTCTTGGTCAATCTCTGCCAGTTCACACCCCATCAACATGTATTTATAGTTAGGATTTTTGGCTCCAATGTGAATCACTTTGCACTTGGCCACACTGAACCCCATTTGCCACTGCTTACCACCCTCTACTGAGAAAATTGCCCATTTATACTCACTCTCTGTTTCCTACTAACTAGCCAGTTTCCTATTAATTTAGCCAGTCATACAGACTCACAAAAAGACTCTTCTCACATTACTATTACGCCTGGAAAAAAAGAAACTGAAAAAACTTGAACAAGTGAGACATAACCCAATTTCATACCAATTACAATACGGTAGATTTAATGACATGGAGCTGTAGCACTGCTTAAAATTTGTATATAAGTCAGGCATTTTTTTAAAGGTTTGGAACACTCAGAATTTCTAGATCTGACCACCAGAATGGATATACAAGAGAAATTATAAAAATAACAGGCATAAAAAGTCAATTTACCTTGTTAGCAGCTACAAGTACTTTGTCAAGGAACCGCAGCCATTCAAAGATGAAAACTGGTCTCTTTGCTTCTGTAATTTGAGCCAAAGCCTCTTCATTTAATAGTAAACTGTGTGCAAGCTCCATGGCTGGCTAAGTTCTGATTCTGCTGTAGATGCACTTATTTCCTGGAATGTAAAAAGAATATATACACACACACACACACACACTATAGAACAGCACATTTTACTATTTACTGCAGTGACAACTAACACAGAAATCATGATCAGTTAACAATATTTAATTACTGCATCCCAATTTGATGAACACTTCAGACTAAACACTATGCCACAACAGCTTTGCTCATTGGAGCAGGGTCTCCGGCAGGTGCCAACCTGTAAACTGGCAAAATCAGCCCAACAACTGCCTGTCCATATGCCTTGTCTGTTGTAGTCTCCATCATATGGAATAGGCTGAGGAGGTCAGAAAGGCTCCCACGCTCCTGGCTTTCCACAAACTATGCAAAACTGAATTATTCAAGAGGGCTTTTTTATGCAAGCTATAAGGTAACACTTATTCACAAAGTTATTTGGATAAATTATTAGGAATGATAGTCAATACTACTGTATATGGCTTCCTGGTCTTACTATGTAATTTTTGCATCAATGTGGCACATTAATACTTATACTTTGCTTCAGTTCAGTTTTTTAGACTTCTGGTTGGTTGTACAACCTGAACCTTTTGTACTGTTTATTGAATACCCCGTCATGTTGACTGTATTAACTCATTCTGTGTAATCCACCTTGAGTCCAAGTGGTAACGGTGGACTACAAACAATGTAAATAAATAAATATATTTTTATTGTCTACTAACATTCATTATGATTTTCATAAAGTACATATTAAGAGAACAGTGCCGTCTGACACGAGAACAAGAAAATGGGTATTCTAGTTGCCAAATGGCTACAACTTCAAAAATATGCATATATACAATATACACAAAACTGGCTCATGTAGAGAACTACCGTAATGCATGCTGTACACAGGCCATGGGCATAACAGGAGAATATGTACCCAAGACTCAAGTCTTGGAAATCAGGAATGCATGCTTTTATTCAGCAATAATACAGGTGTGTGCTCCTCTGAGTATGTGCAGAGTACACTCACATCATTAGAAAAGCAAAGCAAACTGGCATGGGCTGCAGCTACCTAGTGGTGTAAAGTGCCATTGCATCACAGCTAGCTTATGATGATTCCCATAAGTTCCGCAGGGCCTGTAAAACGGAGCTCTTCCGCCAGGCTTTTGGAGCCGCCACCACGAACACCTCCACCACCACCAATTAATATCTACTTTGGCAGAGCCCTGCCTCGTAGGTCCCTCAAACACAGCCCGTGCCAATGACCTGAGATAGCCGCAGAAGGCCGAAGAGTCAATTGGAATATGAGGGATGTTGCTAGCACTTTATCCTGTTTGAATTTTAATGCTGTATTTATTACTGTATGTGATTTTATTATGATTGTATTATGGGAATTTTATCTGTCTGTAAGCTGCCCTGAGCTGGCCTTGGCCGGGAGGGCGGGATAAAAAATTAATTAATAATAATAATAAGGTGGGACTCATAAGGTGTCAAGGCAACAGAAGAACAGAGATGGTTCACCATTGCCTGCCTCTGTGTAACAACCCTGGACTTCCTTGGTGATGGTCCCCCATTGACAAGATCAGGTGAGCCTGGGCCAGCCAGGTCAGGGCAGCTATACACTGGCCCCAATTTCCTTATAGAGAGCTGTGGAAACAAATTCTGATGATGGGCATATCTGAACTCTCTAAAGCAGGGTTGTCACACATGCAGCTCATGCACTGGAACTAGCTCCTGCAGGGCTCAAATCCGGCCCATGAGCAACTGGCTCACTGCTGCTTCCTTCCCCGAGGCTGCTTCCACCATCACATTGCAGCTCACTTTTACCCAGCTTCCTCTCCTGCTTCCTCAAGACTCACTCTCTCTCACACACACAAGTATTTGTGTTAAAAGGAAGGGACGTGTTGAAATAAGGGGAAAGGAGAATTAAAAGGAAATTATTTTGGCTTATTCTGAAAAGTTGTTTTAAGTAGTAAATTTCTGTTTTTATTTTCTTTCAAAAAGACTCTGATTAGGAATTAGAACTCTTGGATTGGATTCCGTTGTTTAATGACTGAAAATAGATGTCTAAGTATTTAAAAATACATCTATGATTCCATATGTTCCAGTTCAACAGGTCTCCCTTTCTCCCCTTCCACCTTGCTGGCTGCCTTTCTTTACTCCCTCTTTGCTTTTTGAACTGCTTCATTATTATCACTACACTGAGTAGATTTTGCCCAGTCTGAAATCAACACATTATTTCACTTGGAGAGATCCCCCTCTCCAGTTTAAACAGATGGGGGAGGGGACCTAACAGCACAGCTTGCAATCTTTATTAGTGGAAAGGAGCAAGAGTCCAGTAGTACCTAACCAAATTTGTGACAGGGCGTGAGGTTTTGAGTTACTGCTCTGTTCTTCAGATGCAATTTGAGTCCATTCGTCCTTATAACTTGGAGAGTCGAGTGATTTCAGATGCCAAATGACAATAGCAAGCTTTGGCAATGAGACAGAAAACCTAGGTCTCAATTCAGTCCAGGGAGATGCATTGTCTTGAGCTTTATTATCAGTGGCAATTCAGCAGCCTCTCTTTCTAATCTCCCTTTGAAATTCCCTTGTAAGAGAACGGCTACTCTTAGGTCAGCAACTGAATGTCCTGGAAGGTTAAATGCTCTCCCAATGTTTTTTTAATGGTTTGATTTCTAATGCCAGATTTATGTCCATTTATTCTTTGCATCCTCCTGGACTGAATTGAGACCTAGGTTTCCTGTCTCATTACCAATGCTGGTATCTCCACATCTACTACCCTCTGCATTGCACACCTAATCCAATCAATCCTGCTATTGTCATTCACCGGCAATTGTCATTTGGAATCTGAAATAACCTATATAAAGTTTATATCTCCAGTACCTCCTGTTATATTTTATAGCACACATGTCCCAGCCCAACAAAGTGAAATGTATGTCAGATCCAGCCCTCGTAATAAATGAGTTCGACACCTCTGCTCTAAAGTGCCATCAGTCTTAAAAGACGAAGGCCTATTTCAGGGGTACATCACGTAGTTCATATGCAGGCGATCTCAGTCTCTACATAAAGACTGCCAAACAGCAGACATTTAGGAAAGAAAGAGCTTTCTCTCCCTCAGACCGAGGAGAGCGGCTACCAGCGCTGGGCGAGGGGGTCTGGCTCTGCACAACGCAGCCTGGCACTTCCGTCAGCTCTTCCTTCGAGACCTCCGCAGTGACGTCTGACGGGACAACAAAAGCCGCCCCCCAAAGCTTCCCAGTAATGAACCCTCACAGGCCAAGACATCCCACCCAGCGCAAAACCGGCACAACGCTCTCAGCTGACCCCGCTTCCCATCCGTAGGAGCCCCTACGGTTGCTCCCACCCCTTCCCCGAAGGCCACGCAAGGTCTTCTTCAGACAGCTCATCTATTGTTACCTGAGATATCTTCTTCACGCCCCAACGACCGGCCTGTTCCGACTGTTCACACGACTACAGCGCTTGGCAGAGGTAAATTCCCGACGCCATTGCACCTAACCGGGCTTCTCCATAGACACCTGAGGAAGCACCGGTTCAGGCGCAAGCGCAGACGAGACCCAGGAAGCGAGTGGGAGAGAGTGCGCGTGCGCCGTTTCTGGACTGGTCCCTTCGTTCGGCCGCCCTTATGCAAAGAGGAGAACGTTGAGCAGGTTAACTGTTCAGGTTATGGGTGGTGAGATGGGGATATAGAGAGTGTCGTTAGGTGGGAGCAATTTTCTTGGAAGCTCCGCTGGTTCCTATCGCTTTTCCTTCTGCGTGACGGAGTGAGCTCCCGTCTCTGGCCCCAGCTCCTGCCAACCTCGCAGTTCGAAAGCAAGAAATTGCAAGTAGACAAACAGGTACCGCTTCTGTGGGAAGGTAGCAGAGTTCCGTGCGCCTCGGTGTCTAGTCATGCCGACCACATGACCACGGAAACATCTTCGGACAGCGCTTGCTCTTCAGCTTGAAAACGGAGATGAGCACTGCCCTCTAGAGTCGGATTCGGCTAGCTTTCGAGCAAGGGAAACCTTTAGGATTGTCGTCTGAGTGAGAAATGGAAAGGCGAAGAGCAGTGTTTTGATTTCTGAAATGGAAAACTGCGGCTGTAGCTGTAGGCACGTTAACTTGGCAGCGTGTCCCGTTGAACTCAGTGGGGCTTATTTCCGAATAGACATGCCTAAAAGTAAGCAGCACAGTGCCGGGACTCCAATCTCCGTTTCTTGCCAGCCATGCCCTCTGACGAAATCTCCAGTTGTGTGGTGGAGGTTCAGAGGCAACGCTGGTCATGGGCATGCTGATAAGGAGGGGGCAGATGGGACTACCAGGGACTGAAAATCATATTCCAATACTTAAACAAAGCACATAAAATACAATATTTATTGGAAATTCTATTTGTCTGCATCTATTAGGTACACTAATGACAGATGAAAGCATGTATCTACATTTATATAAACCTTGGAACTGTTAAAGTGTATGTGTGTTTTAAAAATCAAAAGAAAATATCATTTGCAATGCATTCTAAAATAGCAATATATCATTCTTAGGGAAGAGGAGCATTACTAAGTATGGAGGACACAGAAGAGGATTACATGTCTGAGTCCTTTGTTAATGTTCAGTAAGTGGATTATTTTTCTAAACTTGATGTCATAATTTTCAGCACCTGTTAGGTACACTGTTGACAGTTGAAACTATTTTTTAGGACTTCTGTAGCTACATTGTAGTCATTCAGATACTCAGTGAAGGGCTGGTCAGAATTATAGTTGAGATTAGTGGTATTGTGACTGAAGACTATACTTGCACTATATGTCATTTTGTAGAACTACTTTAACAGTATCACCCTAGGAAGAGCTATACCCTTTTAAGCCCATTGACTTCAGTGAATTTAGAAGGGTGCAGTTCTACTTAGGATGGCACTATAAATCAGTGTTTGACCGTGCAATCCTAAAAACACTTTCCAGAAAATTAGCTCCAATCAAGAAATCAGATTTTTGTATATATTTACTTTGGATTGCTCTCTTAGATTTTTCCTTGGTTCACTGAAGTAGTTCTTGCTGCTGTGTTTTTCCACGCCTTGTATATAGAGATAATTGTTGTATAGTCATTTAACTGTTGTTCTTGTTTTGTCAGGACATCAGGCCCGGAATGCCCATGCTGAGGCGTGTAAAAGATACTTTTAAAAAAGAAGAAAAACAAAAAGAAGCCAACCAAAAAAGCAGGCAAAAGAGTATAAAAGAACAGGAACAAGAGCAACGGGATACTGCTTTAAACATTGCTTTGGGAAATGAGAATAAAGGCTTTGCTATGCTTCAAAAGATGGGGTACAAAAGCGGTCAACCTCTAGGCAAGAGTGGTGAGTTTGCCATCTACTTTCAAAATGTGACTGATTTTTTGCAGGAATTTTGTTTAATTCTAATGTCATGTCTGCACAAAACTAGCTTCCTAACACTGGTACAGTCATCAGAATAATGAAAATCCAACCCAGTCAAGCCCTAGTTAAAGTGGAGGCTTGAGCATATACATAAAACACACCATAAGAGTAGTCACGTTGGATCAGATCTCTGGTCCATCTAATCCACCACCCTGTTTCCAACGGTGACTAGTCAGATGCCAATAGTCAGCTCAGAAGCATCCCTAATGTGCTGATTGCTCCCCAGCATCTGATATGCATCATTTTATAGACTGCTATCATATCCTCCCTCAGATTTTGAGTCCAGTGGCACCTTTAAGACCAACAAAAGTTTATTCAAGGCATGAGCTTTCGTGTGCATGCACACTTCAGATCCCTCAATTGTTGTTTTTTCCTTCACATCATAAAGTGGGCACTCCAACCCTATCGTTATGTTGGTTGATGTTTTTTGCATTTTTTCCAGCATTTCAGTGTACTTTTTGAAAGGCGGCAACCAGTATTATAGATAATATTCTAAATGTGGCTACACTAGAGTCTTGTGTAAGGGCATCAGTATACTATCAGTTCTATTCTTTTTCTCTTTTCTTTTCTTTTTATTGCTGCTGCATACTGAGGTGATATTTTCAATGAGCTCTCTCCACTGCAACACCAAAACTCTTTTGCTTGGCCTGTTCACCAGCTCAGACCCCAGCAGTATACATCTTGCCCCAACATGCATCAACCTGCACATACTTTCGTAGAATTTCTCCAGCCATTCTGTTGCCTGTCCCCAGTTTGAAGAGGCCATTTTGGAGTGCCTCATAATCCCCCTGAATTTTCACCACCCTGAACAATTTAGTGTCATCTGCAAACTTTGCTGTCTCTCGGTTTACCCCCATTTCCAGACTTTATGTATTAGTCTTTGACCCTTAGAAATCTTTACTTCTGCCTGAGGGGGAAAGGAAACCATGATTTTGTATACTATCAAAGCTAGATAAATGTTTTCTAGTAGAACTGGTATACTGCAGGAGTAGAACGCTATACCAAATACGTGGCCTCTTGTGGCAAGGGAGAGCCTACAAAACATTACATAGCACACTGCAGAATCATAAAAACATAATTCTGGAAAAAGTAGCTGAGTAGAAAAGCAAATCATGTGAACCATTGTGTATTTATTAAATGTTACATCAGTTGTAGAAAAAGTTTGGAACTAAGCAAGTTAATGAAAGACCATTTCATAATGGAGATCATTTGGAACAGTGCTTCAAATGTTGGGTTTAGACTAAGCAGAGCCATGGGGCTCACTAGATAGCCTTGATATATCATTAGTTCTTGATCTATTCTGCCTCACAGGCTTATTCTAGAAATAAAATGAAGTAATCCCAAGTAAACAATTCAGAGTTTGTTGGAAGAAGTAGGAATACAAGTCTGTCTGATGTTTGTCATCTACTGTGGCTACTCTTTTTTAATGGACTGCTCTGATTTTCTTCAGGAGAAGGGATTATTGAGCCTATTCCTTTGAACATGAACAAAGGTGTGTGTGAGAAATCTACCTCTTTTAGTTTTATTTATTTTTTCCAATTCTGAATGTGATGCTTCCCAACATGTTAACCTGATTGCTTTGAACTTCCAACAGGTAGAAGTGGGCTTGGCCATGAAGAATTGAAAAAACGAAAAGCTGAGGAGCAGATGGAAAACTACAGAAGAAAACTTCATATGCAAAAACAAACAGAAAAGCAGACAGCTGACCTTTTCAAGTAATGTGCAAGAAAACGCCATTCTCATGATTCTTTTAAAGAAACAGTTTCTTAATGCACAGGGTGCTTCATGGATGCATAGGGAGACAGCGTAACTAAACTAGAGAGTAATGCTCTGTAACCAAACAAAAAAAAAGTGCTGACTATCACATGCATCTGTTCTGAGGGTTCAAGACTGCAATCCTACATGGAATTGTTTCTGATGTTTAGGATCAGGAATAAGCATGGCGGCAAGAAAAAAACACTTATTTGTTGGTTTTGCTAAGAAAATATGAGTAAAGATGAAACTACATTTTAAGAAAACATTAATCTTCCCCCTCCATTCACAGAAAGTAGTTATCTGTCTGTATGGAAGAGACCTCTATAGATAGGTATCAGAAAAGTTATCCTAGTGGGAGGCCACCTATTTATGCATACAGCATAGAGCTGGTTGCATTCACTGTTCTTGGGCACAATGGAAGCCTTCCTGAGATTCATGGTTCCACAGTCAGTGTTCTACATGTATCTCCAAGCACACAGTGTGCAGAACATTCCTGTTTGTACTGTAACTGGCCAAGGAAGCAGGGGCCTGGAGACCACAAGGTGATGTGTGGGATGGTCTCGACTTAATGTGAAGGGTCAGATTTGTTCCATCGCAACCAATATAGCACTGATGTATGTGCATATGGCCACCTGGCAGGAAAAATAAGTGTTTTGGTAGACAACCGTGGGGCTTATGTCCATGTGCAGAGTCAAGTTGGACTGTGTGGTGGGAGGAGTTCATTGTGTTTGCATTGGTGTTGTGCTCATTGGTTTTACTCTCTAGTCATCGTATCATCAAATTCTTAAAGACCTAGCATGGTCTAAGTTACCTCTACTGTTCTTTCTTCAGTAAATGTTCTTCTCAGGTAGGACTATCTGTAGTAGTTAAATCTGTACATGCAATTTCTCCACTAATTTTGATCAAAGTAGATCCCCCCCCCCCCCCCGCCCTCGGTTGGCTTGGTCAACTG